GGAGCAGCGGCCGCCGTGCTGGGGAAGGGGTTTGGGGCTGGCTGGCTTTGTTTTTGAGGGGCTGGGGGGTCTGTGCTGAGGGAAGCGAGCTCCCAAGGAGAGGATGGTAGCTGTGTCAGGGGCTTCACACCCCCGCCCCCCACGTGGGAGTGGGGCTTGGAGGAGGGGCCCTGGGTGCGCTGCCCTTGGCACTGAAGGTGGTGGCCACGCCAAGAAAAGGGATGGTCGGTCGTGCCTCCCACTTCCCGGACCCATGCGCCAAAGCCCCGCAGGCTCCTCTGGGAGGAGGCCCGGCTCCGGGGGTCGCGGGGCGGGGCGGGGGGTGGTGGTGGCAAAGGCAGGCCCAGAGGAGGAGCCAGCCAGCCCTTTTCTCCGTGGGGCTTTGCCTGCTTCTCAGGGCTGCCTATTTTTATCCCAAATGTAGCTGCGGAGGGGGCTGGGGCGGCTATGTGGACACGGCCGATGGGCCCCACCATTCCGAAAACCCAACTGTGTGAGACTGGGAAAGAGAAGTGTGTGTGTGGAGGGGGGTGTCACTGTTCCCAGATCTCCTCCCCTTCCTTTCCTGTTACAGCCCCCCACCCCCTCCTCAGAGGGGACCAGGTCTCTGGGTCCAAGGCAGTTTTCCGTTTCCCCAGGGTCTCAGAGCTACAACAACTTTCTTGGTCGGTGTCCAGATTCCTGAAGGCTTGTGTGGCTCCTTTGTGAACTCCTTCTCAGAGCTCAAACCAGAGCTTAGGGCTTGGGGGGTGGGGGCAGATGCTGTTTCTTGCCCACTCTCCCTGGGGTCAGGGCTGGCCACAGAACTTGTGATGCCCACCCTTGTGTCCGATCCTTTAGCCTCTTGTTCCTCACCCCACCCTCCCGTGACTCACACTCTAGACTGGGTGGAGACCCTGGCTGGGGCCCTGGAGGAGGCCTTGGCATCCCCAAACAGGGCATGAGGCATTTCTTCCTGAGCCAGGCACCCTGGGCTGCCATGGCCGGTGAGGGCCAGGGAGGAAAAGGGCTTCGGGCTTTCCACATTGCCTCCTCTGGGGCTCAAGGGGCAGTGCGAGTGAAGGGAGACCATGGTGTGGGTGACTGGGCTGTGGCCAGAGTCTGTAATTATAGAGCTTGGGCAGACAGGCAATTCGTATCTCTGGGACTGACAGGGTGTGCCTAGTAGGCTGGAGGGAGGGAATGAAGGAGGAGGAGGAAGAGGAAGGCATTCTAGCCAGACAAAGGAGGTGACAAGAGGACCCAGAGCTTGTCCGAGCACTTTCTCCGGCCATGCTGGAGCCTCTGTGACCCTGGCTTGGGAGGCAGGGCTCTTACCTTTTTCAGAGTAAGAGAAAGGACACAAGAAGGTGTCAGGACACAGAGGACAGCCTGACCAGTGCTCCCTGAGCCTGTCCTGGGTACCCTACTGGCTGGAGGAGGGGCTCCCTGCTAGGGTTGCTGCTCCAGTGGTGCAAGCCCCCCCCACCCCCCAGGAAGTGGTTAGGGTTAGGGGACATTCTCTGCAGGAAGTGAGGGCCATGCTGCTAAAGTGAGCTCCCCTGGAGGAGGTGGTAATGGAAGTCCCATGGGGGTGGGGGGGAGGATTTGCAAGTTTTCAGAGAAGGGTGGGGCCTGCCCACCCTGTTTCCTGATGCCCTGCCAGGTGTTTCCTGGCGCCCCATCCCTCAACCCCACCCTCTGGGGGAAATTCTGCTTTCTAGTACACACAGGCACTACTCACTGCCACGAGGAGTGTCCACAGGAGCACCCACTGTCCCCGGATGACCCATGTCGTGTCCCTCCTGTTAACATCTGCCCTTTCCTTTTTCTGAGGGGTCCTGGTGTCTACAGGCTGTCAGCACCCCATACATGCAATAATACTAGGCAGAGGCAGGCTGGC